TATGCCTTTGTTTAGAATAACCCAAGTAATCCCTGAACCTGCCATATTATGGAAAAAAATCCAAAGTACCCTCTCTCTACATATATATATACTTCTACATTTGGTAAAATATAGAAAAAAACAGTTAAGGTAAATTGATCTATCATTGTCTACTATATATAGGAGGGTACCTCTCTCTCGCTCTCTCTACTATTTCAATAGTGAAACCATTTCACTGTATAGAGAGAGGGTACGATCTATCATGATCTATCACTGTCTTAACCATTTCACTAGTGAAACCAAGAAAACACCATGAGCATCCACGCCTCAAATGAAACACCTCATTATTACATTTTTTCCAACATTGTACTTTGAAGAACAGCGACAAGTACATTAACTATGCCACCATAAGCATCATATCTTAATGAATCCAACGTGTAACTCATCACTGCATTCATGCTAAATGACAATGGCTGGCTGGCTAGCACGCAGTACTACTCTAGATGACTTATAGCATCCATCCTACAAATGCTTTGCACTTGACAGAGAAGGCAAAGAACAGCATCCACCCTACAAATCCTATAAAGTGCAGAATTTTGCAACGAATCGGAGAAGATCGTCGGCAGGGTGAGGAAGATGAGAACACAGGGAGTCGCAGTCGATTTGGGTGAGCCGTCTGGGGCTGGCAGCTCTGGGCGGGCGGGCGTCAGCAGATCTGGCCGGGTGTTGGCGGCGGGCGGGCGCGCTGGGCCCGGCCGTCGGAGGGCCGGGTGGGCGGTGTCCGGGACTGGCTGCCGGAGGGGGCGGGCGGGCGGGCGTCCGGCCTGGCCACCGAGGGGCCGGGCGGGTGGCGTCCGGGCTGGCCGCGGAGGGCAGGCGGAGGCGTCGGAGGGCTCAGGCGAGCGTCGTCTGGGGCCTGGCACGGGGGGGGTGTGGAGATGGGCGGAGCGGGAGCGGGAGCGAGCAGCGGCGCGTCTTGCGGCGGGTGATTCTTGGCGTCTGGCGTCAAGGGGGGGAGGCGGGTGGGTGGCAGGTTAGGTTTAGATAAGGCCTGTGGGCTTTTTTTTAGTCTTCCCAGAGTGCCTGCTCGCACTCGGGAAAAAAACTTTCCCCGAGTGCCGGGGAAGGCACTGGGGAAGTATTTTTTTTTTTTTTTTTGCCACATTTTTTGTGAGGCCTTCCCCACATTATTTAAAACTCCATGTTCAAATTTGGGACAATTTTCACTTTTTTTGTTATATTTACGTTAGTTTTTTCGTTTAGTTGAATTTTTTTGCATACTTGAATTTGAGCTGCGGTGCATGAAATAATGGAATTTGGTAATTCAAAAATTATATTAATGATATTTGGTGTATGTTGAGGCCTTATCCGCTGCCCTGCATGCATGAATCTTGTTGATAATGGAATTTGCCTCTTCAAAATTATTATATCGAATGATATTTCCGGTTTGAGGCATCCGACGCATGAAATGTCAGCAACTTACTCATTGCGAACCTTCTCGATTTTTTATCATAGCCTCTACATGCGACCACGAACGCCCAAACAAGTTTCGATTTTCGACTTCGCTCGCTTCGATTTTATATAATTTAAAAACACTTTTCCAAGTTGTTCGTTCGTATGTTACGTCAACAAGATGCTCGACATTTCATGCGAGTTCTCGGATAAGGCCTCAACATACACCAAATATCATTAATATAATTTTTTGAATCACCAAATTCCATTATTTCATGCACCTGCAGTTCAAATTCGAAGTATGCAAAAAAATTCAACGAAACGAAAAAACTAACGAAATATAACAAAAAAAGGTCAAAATTATCCCAAATTTGAACATGGAGTTTTAAATAATGTGGGAAGGCCTCACAAAAAAAATGAGGCAAAAAAAAAAAAAAATTTTCAGTGCCTTCCACGGCACTCGGGAAGAAATCATTTCCCGAGTGCCGGGACGGTGCACTCGGGAATCCCTGAGTGTCACCGCCCCGCACTCGGAAATGACCTCTTCCCCGAGTGCCAGAGAAGGCTCTTGGGGAAGTTTTTTTTTAAAGTTTTAACGGCGTTGGCGGGTTGAACCGTCAAGTAGCATGTTTCTTTGCCGAGTGTCGATCTTCCCCGAGTGTTGCACTCGGGGAAGAGGGTCTTTCCCGAGTGCTGCTCTTTACCGAGTGCCAGGATCTCTGCGGCACTCAGGAAAACCTCTCTTCCCCAAGTGCAATTCTTCCCCGAGTGCCCGATTTTTAACACTCGGGGAAGCCAGAGACACTCGGAGAATTTTGTCTCTGCCGTAGTGCCTTATAAGTAGCCGCAAGAGACGCCGCGCCCGGATACATCATATATATTTAAAATTTTGTGTTGGTTTATTAATTGTTGGGGGCGGGGTAGAGAGAGAGGCCCAGTGTCTTACGTTACGCCTCCCGTTCATGTCCTAGCAAATTAAACCAACTCCATCTCTCTCCTCCGATCCATCTTCTCCAACTCCGACGGCCGCACCGGCACCACCACCAATGCAGACTCAGACGCAGACCCAAACGACGCCGCCGCCGCAAAAGCATCGGCGACGTGCGGGCGGCGGTGCCGGAGCACTGCTGGCGCAAGAGCTCCTGGCGGTCGCTGTGGCACGTGGCGCGGGACGTGGCTGTGGTGGCGGCGCTTGGCGCGGCGGCGGCGGGGATAGATAGCTGGGCGGTGTGGCCGGTCTACTGAGCGGCGCAAGGGACCATGTTCTGGGCGCTCTTCGTCCTGGGACACGACTGGTACGCCGTCCGTTCCTCCTCTAGGCCCTGGGACCAGTTATCGTCTGTTTCTTTTCTCGGTTATTATTACGAGTACGACGACGACGATGACCATGCATGCAAATGCAACCTGACGACGATGCATGTTGTATATGTAATGTATGGATTGATGCAGTGGTCACGGGAGCTTCTCGGACAGCGCGACGCTCAACAGCGTGGTGGGCCATCTCCTTCACTCCTTCATCCTCGTCCCCTACCATGGATGGTACGCATGTTCTTCGATCAATTTGGTCGATTCCTCCCTTGCTTTGCTTGTTCTTCTTCACCTCCATCCCTTGATGCATGCATGCCTATATAGCTTTTTTTCTCGCTTTCGTTTGCATTATTTATATATGGAAGGCATCGACGACAACTATCGGTCTGCACGTAAAGTAAGGCAGAGGCAAACAAAAGATGGAAGAGCACATTTCATGTTGCTTTTTTTTCTGCAAAAATTCGATACGACACGATCGATCGGTGTCATAGATATTTATTTGGATGGTCTATGTTGGAGTGTATAGAGCATATATACGTATAACGTTTATATACGGACATATGTATGCATATGCATGCATCCGTCGACACGTCATACCTCATACGTAGACCGTAGGTGCAGCAAAGCAAGCAGATGACGCACGCATGCATGGAGCACACATTATATACTAGTACAAGGAGCGCGCCCTTGCGCACGTCGGTGGGCACAGAAAAGATTTCGATGACTGAGAAAACATGTTTAGGGCCTGTTTGGTTCCTGAGGAACCGTGACCAGGATGTAATCCGACCAGGATCGGATGTTTAATTTGTGTAAGATTTTTCCAGCCGGAACGCTTCCTGACTCTTTTCCTGGCCTAACGAACGGGCCCTTATAGAGTGTAATAGGAGGAATAAGACAGGTAGATATACATCCAGAACCGTGTGTATTACATTTTATACCCTAGATTTTTGGTACTGGTAGCTTTGTATCTACAAACGGTACAATAAATAAGCAAAAAATTGAGATTAAAAAAATAAAGAAAAAGTTTGTCAGTTCAGATATCTTCTTGGTATACCTGGTGTCCATTAGCTTAGTTAAAGGTAATCACCAGACTGCAATAAAAAGATAGAATATGAGAAGATGAAGATTCGTTGGTTTGTCATTAGCTAAGCCCCAATTCAGCCTATGGAGGGTACCTATTTCCAAGGTGAAAATATTGCATGGTGCATACAAATATAACGAGAGTAATGTTGAGGTAAATTTATTTACTTAAACATAAAAATAATAGATGTGTTTTCTAAAATATGCGCATGATGAACTCGGTTTGCTATAAGTACAGTACTGCAACTATTTATTTACTTGCAGCTTCTATATAAAGTGTAGGCAGTAAAGTTATACTCAATGGTAACTATAGGATAGGAATCAAAGAAGGAAGCCAATAATAGCTATAGTTCAGAAATTAGAGAAAGAAGCAAATAAAAATGCACAGATACTGAACAAGGTCCATGTAATAGATTACCTTGCCAGCAAGTCCAACCACCTTTGTGCTGCTCTGAAATCTTATGAGAGGTAGTCACTACCTGACTGCCATCAAAGACACTGGAACTGTTGCAAGACAACTGGACTGTGAGAAATATTACCAATTTCAAAATATGATAAAATGAGGGTTCTACAAACTGGGTCAATGTTTTTGAGGCGCTGCGGCGAGGTGCCGCGCCCGACTCGCTTCACAACGCCTAGGCTTTTGTGGCGGACGCCTAGGCGACGCCATACACATATTGTATACCTCCTTTGTTGCCAATTCTTGAGCCCATGTTCCTTAGGAAAAGAGCAAATTTGCACAGCTAAGGGAGCACTACTAATCAGTAACATACTAATCAAAGCAAGTGTACACTAATCAAAGAAAGACCTGTTGCTGTAGCAACTGTAAACTAATCAAAGCAAGTGTATACTAATCAAATCCATGTTGCTGTAGCAGTGTATGTAGCAGTCCAAGCACAAGCAGACATTAGTATATGTGAGTAACACTAAAGAAAGACGGCTCAGTAATATAAAAGCAGAGCACGAGCAAGGCGCACGCAGCATGAGCAAAAGCAGAGCACGAGGCATTAAATACTACAATACTCAGAGCAGAGACGGGATACCAGGCACCAGGCAGGGTCATACCAGGCGGAGGGAACAGAGAGGAGGCAGGGGCATACCAGGCGGAACAGAGAGGAACAGAGAGAAGGCAGGGGCATACTAGGCGGACGACGGACGGCCGGCGGAGGTGGAGACACAAGATGAACAGGCAGCTGTGGACAGGTGGACGGCCGACGGAGGCAGACAGTCACGGCGGACGCGCAGATGTGGATGGCCGATGCCTGCAGCGGCGGAGATGCTGGAGCGGCTCCACGGCAGGTGCGGACGACCAAGCAGAGATGCAGGGGCGGCTCCTCGGAAGGGGCGGCTGGCCGGTGGACTCGAGTTGTCGAGCAGAGGAGCAGCAAAGCGGAGCTCAAGGTCCGCCCGCCGCCTTCTCTCTCCCTCTCCCCTCGCCCACACTTGGGGTAAATGCCTCGCGCGGTAGATTTCTTGCGCGAAGAGCCTATCTAGGTCACAGTTCCCGCGCCAGGGGCGGACGTGCGGTCGATTTTCCACGGGCCGCGGTCATTTTCGCACCCTTCCCCCACGGCGCGGAAGCGCGGTCGATTTCCCGCGGGCGCGCGGTCGATTTCGCACCCTTCCCTCGCTAATTAGCATCTGGCGTCCATGGCGGGGCTGAAGGCGTCTGTCTGACGCCTTTCTACACCTAGGCGACGCCAAATTCAATTAAGTGGACGTCATACGAGTGTAGGTCGTGGTGCCCTCGACGCCCAGAGCCTCTGCCACGCCTTGTCGCCTAGGCCACGCCTCAAAAACAATGAACTGGGTTATAGCTTATGATAGAAATTAACCAAGCAAAGTGAGCCCATTGTACATGCAGGTAAGGCCCTCCATGTTCGAACCCTTATCTTTTAACACTAACAACAGCTATCATCGTATATTAAATTTACAAAACTGTGAGTTATATATATGGGAACTGTGGTGGGAACAAAATTTAATTGAAGATAATCAGAGAAAAAAAAAGGGGAAAGGCACACAGAAACTAAAGAAGACAAGCATTAAAAAAACTAATATCATAGTTTACATACTTTGTGGTGGTTCGAGACTAAGAAATGGGACAAAAAAAAGACTGTAATACAGAAAGCGACAAGGATTTTGCTTCCAAGAAAGAATAATTCAGATTGGCAATCTTAAGAACAAAGTATACACCCTGAAGTTGACGTTGGCAGGCAAAGAATAAAAACAAGCACGTGCACTAATATATCTGATCGTTCTTTCTATTCTATTCTGAATATTTTTCAACTGCAGGTACTTTTGGAGTATGTGCATGATTGTTGCAAAGGATGTGGTATCCATCTTTTGAAGAATTATCATTTAAGGTCCCTTTGTAAACATGGTTAGGAAGAAGAATAAATTAGCCGCTCATATATAACTAAAAGTCCCCTGTATGAGATGTACAAAGACTCTTATCTAATAGAAAGAGCAAAACTGCTGAACCATCAATGGTACCTGTAAACATGGTTGCTTGTCTGGGAAAACGATCCAGGCAGGCTGTAGCTGCGATGCGGCTTTGTAAAGCTATTGCAGCGACATAGCTCGATCCCCCCTAGATTCTGTATAAGCTCCATGTATTACTATACTGTTAGATTCCAGTGGAGCTTATATTGCGCGTGAACACACACTACAACAGGTATCTTAAAAATTGTCAGGACAGATATTAATTCCCTGACAATGCAATGCTATGTGTCAGATATCTATACCCGGGTATCCAAGCCAAAAGATTAAAGAGCGCCACGTCGCCTTATCCGATGGTTAAAGATGCAACTACGGCCTCGTCCAACTCCGAGGACGAGGTTTCGCCTCGTCCGACCCTCAGGGGCCGGGCCACTCCTCGTCCGACGCCGAGGACGAGGTTTCCGCATCGTCCGACCCTCAGGGGCCGGGACACGCCTCGTCCGGTCTCATGGGGAGGGCCCCGCCTCGTCCGACCCCCGGGGGTCGGATTCCGTCTCGCCCGGCTCCCAGGGAGAGATTTCCGCCTCTGTCGGTCCTTGGGGATCGGATCTGCAACCGGACCAAAGCAGTGGTCCCAGGGTAGGGCTCGAACCACTTCAACCACTACGACATGGAGGTGCACGCCCCAGAGCACGTCTTGGACATGTCCTGATGCGACTGGCGGTCGCATCGGGCCATGCTGGGAAACTCACGTCGCCCATCGCGTCAACAGGCCAGCATTGTGCTGCCAACTCCCTGCTTGAGCACTGTCCAACGTTAGTCAACAGGCGTCAGTGGACTGGCGCTGTACCGCCAGCCCCTCGTATGGCCTCTATCAGGGGACCCTCTGACCATTACGTCCGCTCGGATGTGACAGAAGACAAGAATGGCGCGCGATGCCCGCACGTAAGCTGCAGCGGCCAACAGGACCCCGGTACAACGCCGTTGCCACCACAATCTACAGGGTCAGCGGGACCCACGCGAAGAGGAGGACGGCACACCTCCGGGAGCCTTATTTCTCTTTCCTTTTTTCTCTTCTCTTCGGTTGCAACCCCTGCTTTCCCTTGACCAATAAAAGGGAAAGCAGGGCGTCCCACAAAGGGGCATCGGTTCACCGCACCGCATCAGACATCGAGCACCGAGCAACCGAACCTTAGAGACTTGGGAGCTACCTCCCTCTCTCGCCAGTTTGTAACTCCCTACTACAACCTCAGTGCTAGTAACACGAACAGATCAAAACTGGACGTAGGGACATTTGGCCCGAACCAGTATAATCCTTGTGTCCTCCTAGCACACCATCCGGGTCAGACGCGCAATATACAAATTTACTCATTGGTGCTTACTCGAAACACCGACAGTTGGCGCGCCAGGTAGGGGCCTTTTGTGCGTTCGACATCAGCACCAGGCCTCGGATGGCTAATCGCAACGTCAGTTGGGTCCTGGGCGCACACGTGCGTTTCGGGGACCTAGACTTCATCATCATGATGGAGGGAGAGCTAGCACGGGTGCCCATCGTCGTTCAACCCTTCCACTCCACCGGCCTCGACGCAATCACCGAGGCGCTCGAGGAGCTACGGCTGTATGCCCCGGAGGCCCGCGCCGCCGGGAGCGGCCAGCTCCTCGACTTCGACTACGGGAGGTTAGAGCGTCAGCTCGGCGTCTTCCTAGGACCCCAACCATCCTAGGAGGACCTACGCCACCTCACCTTCTCATTCGCCAATGTCATGGCGCAGCTTACTGGGGGAGAGCCGCTCTCCCCAGAATACCTCATCCAAAGCGCCCCGACAGTGCTCCCGCTTGGTCTCTACAACGCCGCAGAGACCGTTAGCCACCTTGTGGCGCAACGCATGATTCCATCCCCCGCGAACGACAAGTTCGTAGGGGTGATCGAACGCATCGCGGAGTCTTTCCATGACCTCATAGAGGAGCCGAAGTCACTCTCTGGCTCTAACTTTAGCAGGGGGAGCCATCACCCCTCTCGTGAATGCTTCATGATAGGTACCCCCGAGGGACACGTCGAAAGCATCCACGAGGAGGAGGCTACCTCGACAAACGACCTCAATGACGAGGTCGAGGGGAATGTAGGAGCCCCACCCCGCCTGCGGGTGGAGCAACTGAAGGAAGCGTGACTCCAGCTCAAGCAAGAACGCGCAGAGCTCGATCGTGAGATCGAGCACCATAGAGACGGGGGACGCGCATGCGCCATGGCCCATGACATGAATTGGAGGATCGTCGAGGACGATCAAGAGCTCCCGCACTTTGCCCGGGCAAGCCAGAACATCACTGCTATGGCAGCCTTGCTCAGGGGGTTTCTGGATCCTGTGACGTCCGAGGATCGACAGGCCCGCCGTGAGATTCGTACGCTGCTCAAGCGTGTGGCTGCGTAGCAGGCCGAGAGCTTGTTGTCTCGGCGATGGGAGCTCGATGCCAGCCAGCGCACACCCTCGGTGCGGCCCGACAAGGACGCATCAATCCACCAAGCGCCGCATGGCGGCAGGCCACGCGTCGTGGTCCTAGTGCAGGAGCGTCTCGGTCGCAACCATGACGCGTGCGACACCCTCGACGCTCGCCGGTGTACCCGCAACGATGCGGGGAGGGAGCCAGCCGCGGTTACCACCCTTGATGGGCGAATGCTACGACCGCGAGGAGGACCGGAGTCATAGCCCTGAGCCAACAGGGCCCTAGGCTTTCGATTGGCATATCCTCAAGGCGGCACTCCCGCCCCGATACCGCCCATCGACTAATGTCCCAAAATACTCCGGGGAAACGAACTCCGGCTTGTGGCTCGAGGACTACCGGCTCGCCTGCCAGGCCGGCGGTGCGATCAGTGATGACTTCGTCATCTGCAATCTCCCCCTAGTCCTGGCCGACTCGGCATGAACATGGCTGGAGCACCTTTTGCCCAACTACATTCAGAGTTGGGCGAACCTGAAACAAATCTTCATGGGGAACTTCCAAGGCACTTACGCGTGCCCTGGGAACCCCTGGGACTTGAAGAACTGCCGACAGAACTCGGGAGAGACTCTCCGTGAGTACATCCGATGCTTCTCCCAGCAGTGCAACGAGCTCCCCAATGTCGCCGATGCCAACGTCATCGGAGCCTTCCTATCAGGGACCACCTATGAGTCCCTAGTCCATAAGTTGGGACATAAGGGCCCATGGACTACCAAGGAACTCCTCGACATCACGACCAGCCACGCTTCCGGCAAGGAGTCGGTTGGAGCAATTTTCGATTGCTCCAGAGGCAAGGTGAAGCGGGACAAGGATGCTAACGAAGGCCCCTCCGACTGTTCCAATAAGAAGAAGAACCGGAAAGGGCGTGGGGCTCGCTCGTGGCCGCGGCCGAGCGAAAAGCCGATCGTGCGCTGCCCGAGGGAACCCCGATCACTTCGACAAGCTGCTCGAGGGGCCGTGTCCAAACCATGCCTTCCCCGTCAAGCACATGTACAAGGACTGCTCCCTCAAGAAGCATTTCTTCACCGGCGGCTCCAAGAAATGGGAGCAGAAGAAGCTTATGGGCTTGAGTCAAAGCTCTGACACTAGGGAAGAGACTGGCATGCCCTGATGTAACCTGTGGCCTTGACAGACCATATCGGAGGGTTCACATCAAGAATAGCGTCGGGTGTACCGGTGCTATTCTGCCTAACCCCCGTACGAACACTGACGGACGCATCAGTTCACCACGATGTTTGCCAGGACAGAGTAAAGCGCCATGACCGGCATATGACGCCTGCGCATGGCGCTCATGATGGACAGGACCACGATACGAAGCTATCCCTATTGACATCTATAGGGTCGGTGAGACCCGCATGAAGGAGAAGGACCCGGCGATCCTGAAGGCCTTCGGCTCTCTCTCTCACTCTCGTTCTTCTTTTTCCATCGCTATAACCCATACTTTCCCTTGGCCTATAAAAGGGAAAGTAGGGAGTCCCATAAGGGGCATCGCAACACACATCGATTTGGACTTGAACCCATTGAATCCTGAATCGATCAGAACACACAAGTACACAACCGAGAAGCGACCGAGCTCTCGGCACCCGTTCACTCCTTTCTCCAGAGACTTGGGACCTGTCCCTCTCTCGACCATTTGTAACCCCTACTACGAACTTTCAGTGCTAGTAACATGAGCAGCAACAATGAACTGGACATAGGGACATTCTGTCCGAACCAGTATAAACCTTGTGTCCTTTTAGCACACCATCCGAGCCAAACACGCAACATTAAAAATTTACTTATCGGTGGTAACTTGAAACATCAATAGTTGACACGCTAGGTAGGGGCCTTTTACGCGTCTCGACATCAAAACCAGGCTTGGATGGCTAGTCGCAACCTCAGCTGGGTCCTAGGCACGCACGTGCGCTTCGAGCACCAGGACTTCATCGTCACAATGGAGGGAGAGTTGGCGATGGCTCCCACCACCATTTGACCTCTCCACTCCCCTGGCCTCGATGCGATCGCCGAGATGCTTGAGGAGCTATAGCTGCACGCACCAAAGGCCCACACCCCCAGAAGTGACCAGCTCCTCGACTTCGACTATGGGAGGTTAGAGCGTCAGCCCGGCGCCTTCCTGGGACCCCGTCAATCCTAGGAGGACCTGCGCCACCTCACCTTCTCGTTCACCAATGTCATGGCACAGCTTGCTGGAGGGGAGCTGCTCTCTCCGGAATACCTCATCTAGAGCACCCCGACAACGCTCCCATGTGGTCTTCGCAACACCGTAGAGACCAATGGCCACCTTGTGGCACAACGCATGCCTCCGTCCCCCATAAACGACGAGTTCGTGGGGATGACCGAATATGTCACAGAGTATTTCCATGACCTCCATGCAGGAGAATCA